TGTATAGTGATCATCTGTAAAACTGTTTTGATTATTCCCACTTTTCCTTCCCATATAAATTTCAGAATCAGTTTGTCAATACCTACACATGCACGCACGCACCAAAAAAAAAAAAAAGCCTGTGTGCTGGGTTCTGTTGAACTGGCTCACCAGTCCTGGGGAGAATTCACTTATCGACAGTGCTGTATTTTCCGTGAGTACCTCCCGATTTGCTGCTGTTAGAAGTGGTATTTGCTAGCTAGGTGGTAGTGGCGCACACCTTTAATCCCAGCACTCGGGAGGCAGAGGCAGGTGGATCTCTGAGTTCGAGGCCAGTCGCCTGGTCTACAGAGTGAGTTCCAGGCCAGCCAGGGCTGCACAGAGAGACCCCGTCTGGAAGAACAAAAAGGAAGTGGTGCTTGTTTTTAGTGTGTAAATTCAGTTCTCGTTGCTCACATACAGAAATATGGCTGCTCTCGTAAACTGAACTCTGCAACCCGTGCCGTCGCTGACTCATATTCATTCCAGAACCGTCTTTTTGGGTGTTTTGTAGACATGAGCATGTTGCCTAAAATGAAACTGTGCGCTTCCCTTTTCAGTGTGCGTTCCTGTCACAGCTTCAGTTATGAGAAGCTGTCTTCTCCTTGTCACCTCCTGTCCTGAGGCACAGCCTACCTTTCCCACCACCAAGCACAGTTGGTGCTCTCTGTTCAGGTTAAGGTTGGCCCTTGCTTACTGAGAGGTTTTTTGTTTTCTTTCTTATCATGGATGGATATTGAAAGTGTTGCCATATGCCTGCTTCTTCTGCATCAGTTGACAGGGACACATGGCTGCCTCTCGGGGTCTGCTTCTCTAGTGTGTTGCTTCAAATCATTTGAAACAATTAAACCAGCTGTGCATTCCTGAGATGCCCCGCGCGTTCCCATTTCTTCTGTGTTGCTGGTGTGACGTGCTAAGATGCAACTGAGGGGCAGAAAGTCCGAGAGCTTCCAGCCACCCCCTCTGAGATGTTGGCATATGAACAGTCCACGCTGAGTTACTCGGAATCCATATCCTTTTTCTGTGACAGACTTTTGTTTTGTTGTTTTGGTTTGGTTTTGGTTTTTTTCAAGACAGGGTTTCTCTGTATAACCTTGGCTATACTTGAAACCACTCTATAGACCAGGCTGGCCTTGAACTCAGAGATCCACCTGCCTCTGCTTCCTGAGTGCTGGGATTAAAGGTGTGCACCACCACCACCACCACCACCACCACCACCACCACCACCACCGGGCTGATTTTTTTTTTCCTTTAACCTCTTTTTATTTTTTAACCTCTTCCTCAGTTCTGCTATGCTTTAGGAACATTCTGCAACCCAATTCTGAGACAGGGGTTAAGAAGGAAGCCTTTGCTCTTGGTCGCGAGGTTCATGAAGACCTCAGCTGACCCTTGTCTTCCCCCTCCCCCCGACCCACCCCCCAGCTGTCACCTCAGGACTGCAGGCCTGTGTCCAGTTCACCTGAGCTGTGCAGGTGGATGAGTGCAGGCACTATGGAGGACAGACACTATGGAGGACAGACCTATAGTCTGGCTTCGTGGCCTCCCCACTTCCTCCCAGGGCTTCCAGGCCAGGGGCGGGGCCTCCTGTGGAGACTGAAAGGCCTTCTTTGTCTTTCTCCTTTGACAGGCTTTGATAGTAGCTGAGGCAGTCTCGGCGTGGCCTGGTAAAAGGAGCATGTGGGGCTAGCCAAGGTCAGCCATCCCAGGTTATTTTTAATAAGTGGAGGCTAAGGAGGGGCGGGGATGTCACTGAAGGGAGGCCTTTGTTTCCCAGGACACACCATGGACACTGAGGAGAACTCAGACACAGGCCAGGGAGGGCCACCTTCCACTGTGCCTGGGCATAGGCAGCAGCACTCAGACCTTGGGAGAACAAAAGTATCTGGGCCCCAGACCCCATCTTTCCTTCCTGTAAGGCAGAGGCAGTTGGCTCCCAACGTGTGGGTCGAGATCCCTTGGGGTTGCTGAATGACCCTTTCACAGGGGTCGCCTAAGACCATCGGAAAACACAGATATTCACATTATAATTCCTAACAGCGGGAAAATGACAGTGATGAAGTAGCAAGGAAAACATTTTATGGTTGGGGTCACCACAAGATGAGGACCTGTATTACAGGGCCGCAGCGTTAGGAAGGTGGAGAGCCCCCCCCTGTAAGGGGTTCACACAGGCTTCCTGCTCTTAGCTGCCCCTCGGAGGACCAAGGCTGCCTGCAGGATTGAGGTGGGGAGGCCCGAGTGGATGTCATTAGTGTTTGGTTTATAGGAGGATCTGGGCTCAATTTGAAACTGTTGCGAAAAATCCAAGGACTCCGTAGCAGTGGGGGAGGGGTGGGCGTGCTGTTGTGACCAGTCGCTGGGACCCTCTTGTGTAGCCACAGGGCTCCCTGCATCACCATGCGGCAGACAGAGTCCCCTGAACCCCTGGAGGTCTTGGGGGGGGGGCTTGCTGCCTTCCTCACACCCGCGTTCCCCCGCTCCCGGCTCTCCCACGGCTGTTACAGGAATTGATTCTCTCATTCCTCCATGTCGAACCTGAGGCTCCGACTCAGTCCTCAGACTGGGCGGTAAGAGCCTTCACCCTCTAAGACATCCTGCCAGCCCTCCCCTCCAGCTTCCCGTGTTCTCACTGAAGGCCAGTCTTCAAGCAGCCTCCAACCCTCTTCCCTGGTCCTCTTCGGGTCCCCATGGTGGGTGATCACACATGCCGAATGGCTTTCCATCTGTGACCCAGGCCACAGGCCCGTCGTGGTTCTTGTATACTTGCTCCGTCATTTTTCATCCCAGACTAATCCTCCCCTCAGGCTGGCACAGGCTTGGCTCGGAGCTGCTTCGGTTTTGAATCAAGGCATCCTGCAGCCGCATTGTGGGACTCAGCGGGCACACACTTCTGGCACTTGCCCAAGGCTGCATGCCAGGCCTCTTACAAGGTCTGACTAGTCTCGATGATTCTCTAAGGATTGACTTCCCGTGGTACTGGCCAAAGTGCCAGCCCCACCATGTGCTCTTTGTCCAAGCTTCCTGAGGACTCTCCCTGGCTACATGGAAGCCAGTGTGGCCTTTTTGGTGTTTGTTTGTTTAAACTTTATCATTATCGTGTATGTGTAAGTGTGTGTGTGCATGGGCCTGTGTCCCACGGCTCACGTTTTGGCGGTCAGAAGACAACCATGTGGAGTCAGTTCT